TGCCATTGTCTTGGGATTCTTCTCCTTCCTGTATGCCTATGAATCATAAGTTTGGTCTTTTTATGGTGTCACACAATTCCTGCATATTCCATTCTTGTGCTTTCTTAAATTTTTCATAATCTTTGCTTGAGTGGTCTAGTTCATCCACTTTATCTTCCAGTCTTGATATTCTGTTTTCCATTTCATTCATCCTATTGGTGAGGCTTTCTCCTGTCATTTCTAATTGGCTTACTGAGTGTTTCACTTCCTTCTTCATTTCAGCCTGAGTAGTCTTCAATATTTCTAGCTCTTTTCTGAATTCATTCAGAAGTTTATCCCTATCTTCCTTCAGTTCTTTGATTTCTTTGTATGTTCTTTAAGTTCACCGAAGTCTTTTATCACGTTTATAATTGTTCTTTTGAGTTCCATGTCCTGCATTATCTCTAGGGGGTTCTCATTGTACTCCTCTAGAGGGCTATTGGTATTTGGTGGTGATATGGTATTTTTGTTTTTCATGTTATTATTTTTTCTCTGTGATTTTGACATGTGAATTTCTTTTGTAGTTTCTGATTCTTGTGTGAGACTCAAGCCTTCAAGTTTAGGTCTGCTTCTTTTTGTGAACTTTATGTGTCTTTGTGGTTTACTTTGGGGGCATGTAAGGCTGGTTCCTCTAAACTTCCAGTTCTCTCCTTTGATTTTATATTGGAGTGGCCAGATTGCTTTTGTCTTCAGGAGTTCCTACAGAGGCCCAACTCAGATGAGGATCAGATGCTCTCAGGCTTTCTCCTAAGGTCTGGATCCCTCCAGGAATGATTTTGGCCTCAGGAATTTGGGGGTTGACTGCCCTGGGAGCCAGGCCCAGGAATGATGCTGGTCTAGGGCTGGTGGTGACCATGCCACCCAGAGATGCAAAGGAAAATGGGGGCGGGAAGCAGCCCCAAGGACTCCCGGGGACTGCCCTGAGGAGCTGGGTTGGTCTGGATGCAAAGGATCAGGAAGAGGAAAGGTCCAGGAAAGAGGCTGTTGGGTGGTGCAGGCCCAGGGAAATAGAGGGAGGTGAGGGCAGGGCCAGGCACAGAAGCAGTGCTCCTGGGGACGAAGAAGGAACTGTGTTGGTCTGGATGCAAAGGATCAGGAAGCAGTAGTGGTTCCCCAGGTGTCTGGGGCGCCAAGACAAGGAATGGGACAGGACCCACGCTAGGAGGAGAGACTGGCGGGGGAGATGGGAGGGTGAGAAAGGCTGGAGGAGTCAAGACACAGAGGGTACGATGGACTTACCCCTGAAATAGAGGCCTGCAGGTCCAAGAGAGCCTTCTCATAGTCTGGGCCGTGGGATGACCAAAATAAAGAGGGAAGAAGTCAATTCTCACTTGCCAACAAACAGTCAGACATTACTGTGTTGAGAAATTGTTAGTATCTATCAAATGCACACATATGCCCTACCTTTCCTCTGCTGAGTAAACATAGGCATTAAGAAATTACCCAAAAGAAATTACATCTAAGGAACTGTAGATAGATATCAGACTCTCAAACACACCTGCTGCAGCATTTAATTAAGGGGAAGAGTCATCAGGTCTTCAGTTTGCTTTGAAATCCACCAGAACAAAAAGTGAATGGATAAGGACTGGGTTGTTGAAGCAAGCACAGCTCAGTAACATGGATGAATGTATTGATGCTGACTGGAAAAGTTTTTCAACTTCCTGAATGTTGACCATTTTCCTATGAAATGCTGGGGAAATGTGTATGTGTGTTCAGCAGAAGATACAAACAGCTAGAATGTCACAACACTCTTTAAAAATTTTTTGTTGTTTTTATTTTCTGTGTATGAGTGTATTCATTGCATGCACATATTTATGTATGTAAGTGTACCCAAGGCCCACAGCAATGGTTACAGATGGTTGTTAGCCACCATGTGGATGCTGGGATTCGAAACTGGGTCCCTTGAGAGAACAGCAAGTATTCTTAACCATCTCTCCAGCCCATAGAATGTCACAACATTCTTATTCATGACAGCTCCGAACCTAATGCCTCTCAAATTTCCATTCATGATAAAATAGACCTGTACATTATGGGCATGTAAATATAACAGAATACTGTTCACATGAGAGATAGGATGAGCCACATCTATATCTGAAAACATGGGTGAGTCTCACCAAATAACCTTGTGGAAAAGAAACCAGGCTCCAGACATAACAGGGCATTTGCATATATGAACGGTGTGCATGAAACTTGCACCAGCTCAAGCTAGACAAAGTTCTGGCATGGAGGGGGAGGTGGGTACAGAGTTCCTCCCCTTGCTGAGGACCGATTGGCAATTGATAGCTGCTGGCAGAGGGAAAGTCCGTTTCCTTTAAGGGTGTGTTCCCTGGTAGGTTGGCCACACTCCAGGGGATGGCCCCATACCCAACAGTGTGTGGGCAGCACAAATCAGATTCAGTGTTTTTTGGTTTTTTTTTTTTTAATGATGGCACACAACGTTGAGTGTGTAGGGAAAGGGGGTGAGTCTGGGAGGAATTGGGGGAGGAGGGTGAATGCAATCAAAATGCATTGTATGGAATTCTTAAAGAATTAATAAGAAGGAGGACTGGAAAGAAGCCAGGTTCACAAGAGAGAAGATGGCATGACTCCATTTGTAGAACATTCAAAACCAGCAAAACTACTTATGGTTCTAGGAGTCACACAGAGGTTGTCAAGAGGAGGGAAGAAAGGACAGTGACTGGATGGGCATCAGGGAAGGCCCCTGTGGTGCAAAAGGCTGTTTCTTGATCTTAGCACTAAATAGTGCATCAGGCTGTACACTAAAGTGTGTGCACCTTTAGACGGCATTGAAAAGGGAAGAGAAAAGAAAGACCAAGCTGAAGTTTCTCTTAGCTCACTCTGGGAGTCAGACCACACTCAAAGCCTATCTAGCAGGCCACAGCTGTGAAGGAAATGGAACTCATTCCTTCAGAAGACACCCCCTTGTTCACCTACACACATATCTACGCAACAGTTTCCTCAGCCTTTACTGGTGGGCTATGTCCCTCACAGATGCCTGTTCACGGTGCTGTGCTGTGAAGTGTGACCCAGCCTTTCCAAGGTTCATGGGCATGATACAAAGAGGTAGATATTCATGGTTGGTCCACACGCCCATCATCTGGATTCCCAGTGATTATCCTCAAAGGATATAGTCCCTGGTACTCCATTCAACTGCCACATTAGTCAGGATTGTCCAGAGAAATAGAAGGACTAGTGTGTGTGTGTGCACATATGTGTGTGTGTGTAAATGCACATGTGTCTACTTTACACATAGATATTATCATCCATCCCAACCCCCAAATGGGGAAGATTTCTCTGGCTAGAAGGATGCAGTTTCTTCATGGAGAAAGTATAGTCTGGCCTGTCCCCAGATGCAATCCCATCAAGTCTCCATATGTCAGTATATTTTACATATGGTTAGACCATTAATAGATGGGAAAGGTTTCAGCTGCCCACCCTGCCCCTGGATTGCCATGCTACTAACTACCTTAAATAAAAATTAGTTTTTCCTGTTAAAAAATACACCAGGGATGGAAAACAGTCACTGGAGCATAAGCCTATCTCTCACAATGACAATAAACATCCATTGCCCACTACCCAGCCTCACAGATGGAAGTGACCAGCTTGAAGGCTGCTGGCGCCTCCCTGGGGCATTCCATCCTGCTATGCCGGAGGAAGACACCCTTCTGCATTTTATACCCGACAATTTTCCTGCTTGTTACAGAAATCAAAGCACACATTTCCCACCAGTATGCTATGTGCAGCCTTTGCAGATGGAGCTGTGCTGAACGCATGCTGCTGTGAGGTGTATTTTCCCTCCAGTGTCTGGGATTGGTCCATGTTGTCAGGGGCAGCTGCAGCGCTGCCTTCTCACTGTCATGGAATATTCCACTGTGTGGCTCTACTATCACATGTACACTGCTGCCTCCCGATGCACACCTGGGCAGCCTGCAACCCTCTGTGGTGGCAGCTGCAGCTGGAGGAGTGATCTGTTCATCTCCAGGTGCACAGAAGCACGGCTCTCTTGGGTGCACAGTTTGGAGAGCAGGTGTGGCATGTGCGTCTCCTTGCTTTCCTAACTAGTGCCGAGAGGTGTTCTAGGACATGTATTCCTGCAGGAGGCCGTGAGGGTGTCTTGTGGTACCACTTCCTTCACACTTCGAAGGGGACATCTTACAGCCCCTCTGGGCACAAGAATCTCCTCCCCTGGGACCTGTCTGCTCCTGCCTGTGCTGCAGTCAGAGCTGCAGAACTAGGGGAGCGATGGTGCCATATACACCTTTCAGGAACATAGAGGAGGACCCATCTCTTGGGCGTGACCCAGCACATGAAAGTTGTATGACCTTCCCGCAGTTGGAGGAGCTAACCAGTTTTCATGTGGTGGCAGTGGCTGTGTTTCTGCATCATAGGAAAGTGGAGAGCAAGCTACGCTGAGTGGGTGAACCCAGGGCTGGACTGCTAGGTACTTGGCATTGTTAAGGCATCATCCCTGAAGTCCATAAGCCTTGTTATACATTTCTCTTTGTGTGTGTGTTTGTGTGTGTGTGTGTGTGTTCAGGTACACATACATGTGTGCATGTGGGTGGAGGCCAGAGCACATCAGGTACCGTCCTCAGGAAGGCTCTCCATCTCCTTTGAGACAGGGTCTCTCATTTCCCCGAAGCTCACCAGTTTGCTAAGCCTCACGAACCCTCCCATCTCCACCTCCCAACATTAGGATCACAAGCATGCATGCTTTTATGTGGGTGCTGGGGATCTAACTTGGGTCCTTTGCTTGCAAGGCAAGCACCTTACTGGCTGAGCTGTCTTCCCAGCCCAGTGTTCTGCCATTTCTCAATGACTGAGAAGGATGCATCCCAAGGCTGAGTGAGGATGTGGACGCAGTTCCCACCCGTCTTCCAGTCCCACAGCCTGTACTGGTTCCCCTGCCCCCCACTCCCGCCTGGCTGCACCAAGGATGCTGGGAGGTGATCATTTTTTGTGCTACTTCTCTCTGTTTACAGGTTAACCTGACGAGGAAGATAAAGACATTTGCAACCAAGATGGTAATCACGAGTGGAAATGATGAAGACCGGGGAGGCCAAGAGAAAGAGAGCAAAGAGGAGAGTGTGCTGGCCATGCTGGGTATCATCGGAACCATCCTGAACCTGATCGTCATCATCTTTGTGTACATATACACCACTCTGTGAACGGCCTCCAGATGACTGTGAGACGGGGGTCCTGTGTCTCCACACATCAGTGACCAGACAGTGCAAGGGACCAGTGGGTTTGAAGGCCACACATTGCTCCATTAATGTACCTTCGAACTTTCTAACAGGTCACCAAATAAGCCTGTCCTGCTGCCAGGAGCAGAAAACTCTAAAGCACAATGAATTCAACCAAACTCATTCAGGCCACAAGGAACTCAGTGTCTCTGACAGGGGACCTGGCAGAGCGCTGGGAAGACCAGCCATTGGCACCAGGGGTGAGCAAACGGGTGAGGGAACTCCTCATCGGGGAGTGCTGACCACATCCCATACTGAAAAGAACGAGTGGGGAGGGCGCAGCTCAGCTGCCCACCTCCCGCCTCCCGGGGCCAGCGCTCCATCTTCACTTGATAAGCTTTAGGGGCGGTTCACCGACAGGCATCCCATTCATCAAAAGTATCCAGCAATTTGATACCGGGAGATAACTTATTTTTCCTTTTCCATTGGCTTGATGTGTGTATCTGTTCATATCAAGGTATATAAATATATATTTTTAATAAATGTGCTCTATTTTTTAGCATGAACCAAATATTTGGAAAGGCGCTTCTGGACACATAGTGTTGCTCTTGGTTTTAACCACTTTGCTCCCTCAACTGCAGAGCCTCTTTTAGTTCTAGAGCCACCCTGGTCCTCCCAGCTCACCTCAGTTCTTTTATCTTTGTGCTCTCCCTCCCCATCTCTGCCCCCTCCCTCTCCCCCTCCTCTCTCTCCTCCCTCTGCCCCTCTACTCTCTCCTCCCCTCACCTTGCTTGGCTCTTCTCCTCTCCTGTCTCTCATCTCTCTGTCTCTCCCCTCTTCTGTCTCTCCTGTCTCTCCTGTCTCTCCTCCTCTCTCTCCTCTCCTCCCCTCTGTCTCCCCTCTCCTCTTCTCATCTCTCGTCTGGAGGCTATTTTTCCATAATGCCAGCCATAGTCTTGGTTGGTGCATGTTTTAAGATTGTCCAGCGGCTTTTTGTTGCTCTGTTGGAGATATAAAACGATGTGGGCATGCGGACCTTAGATGCACCCTGTCTTTACTGAGAATCATGCATGAACAAGGGCTGGGTGACAGATCAGCTCTAAACATGTTTCAAAAGGACTACCGCGGGGAAAGATGAGCAAGGCCCTGCCTGCAGGTCACCTGTTGCAGGGAGCAGTCAGCATCTCCCTGGCGGTGTTGCTCATCCATTCCTGTAACCATTCGTTTATCAGATTTTGATTTTCATGACCATGAGAGATGGGAAATGGGTCAGCTCAGTGTGAGGTGTGCCATTCCTTTCTTAGCAAGATGCATGGGGATCTCTTCAGAAGTTGGGATATGAATGACCTGGAACCTCCCACTGTGAGAATGCAAGTCAGCTCCAACTGTAAAGACACCTCAGTGACAGGGGCTTTTCAAGAGCCCTGGGAGGAGATTTAATGATCTCTCTAAAGGATTGCTGCATGTTTAAAGCTGGTTTCTTCCCACATGAAGCTATTTCCTCCCTGAGGGCACGGTTGAATAAATACAAATTTGCCCTGTTCTCCTGGTTCCCTGATGTAGCCCTGGCCTGGCTGCAGTGGTGCCTGACCTTTAAGGGGAGGGTCAGTATTCTTTCAGCCCTGGGTGGAAAGAGGAGCAGTTTTCCCAGTTGGAGTCAGATGACACTGATGGGGTGTCTTCCTCCAGATCCCTTCTTCTTCCCTGGAATTCTACCATCGAGTCCTTTCTTGGGCTCTGCTATGGGACCAGGCTTTTTTATAAAGCAAACACCTGTGAGCACCTGGATCTGGCACCAATTCATGAGTTATGGCCTCTTCCCCACCAGAAGGAAGGAAGGTGAGGTATGATCTGAGCACTTTATATACAAGTCACTGAGCCTTCTTAGTGGCCTGTGAGAAGGAGCGTCTCCCTGGTGTGGAAACGGCTCCAATCAGGAATCTTCCTGGAGTTACTTGTCACCCAGAGGAATCAGATTCCAGTGTGGATCTGTCCAGTGGGCCTTGGGGGAGATGCTGGAGGGGAAGAGAGGAAGAGAGGCACCGGTAGCAGGGAAGCCTGTCGTTTTACTGAGGGCTACGCTCTGCACTCCCCAGTGCCCATAACGGGAAACAACCCCAGGGACTCCTTGGACACTGACAGAATATCACACAAGTAGACACGGCACAGAGGCTGGTTAGAAATATGAGACACAGAGGGGAGGGCACTACCTACCGGACTGTGCGATTCTGAAAGCTTGTGAATTCTGGCAGTGAACAGAATGAAAAATAAAGGCACAATGGGAAAGAAAACCTGATTGGTGTCTTCAACTTCCTTTTGACTATGCATATTTTTAATTTTACTTAATAAACTTTAAATGTGCTAGCACTTATTTATTTAATTAAGTGTATTTATTTATTTTGAGACAGGCCTAAGCTGGTCTTGAACTCACTGTATAGTTAAGCGTGACCTTGAACTCCTGGTTCTTGTACCTCTAACCTCCCCAGTGCTGGGACCCTATCGGTGTGTGCCACCTCACTCTGTGATTCTGTTAAGCAGAATTCTGTTTGGTTTGGGGTAAAGAGGCCTCAGTGACTTTTTGAGGGTACTAACTAGGAATTTATGAGGAAGGGGAAAATAATCACCTTTGGGATAGTCTGCGCAGCTCCTTAGTGGTCCTATCTGGGACTAAAGCTATCCTTTGCAGGGCTGATACGGTACAGACTATTCTTTTAATAGCTCAACCCCTGTGTCCACTCTGATTGTTTAGCAGAGACCACTAACTCACATAGAGCAGGCTCATAGCCACTCCCGGATCTCTAGTGTTGTGAAGGGATATGGAAAGAGAAGGTGCATAGCCCTTGCCTGTAGTGGCTGAGTCAGTCCAGCCCAGCCTCAGTCAGCTGCCAGACCCTGGCTCCAACACCTTCTACCCTGCGTAAGAACAGATAATCCCAGGAGATGTGTATATTTCTCCATACAACATAAGGAGGAGGGTTCCAGGGAGCAAACTGACTTTCTGAGATTGCACAACTATAAAACAACAGAATTGGGGTTTGGCCCTCACATCCCCAAACCTTCAACACCTCACCTGGCCAGACCACACTGTGACTCTAGTGGAGCCAGCAGGCTGCTTGGGTCTCATAACACACGCACTCCCTTCTGGCTCAGGGAGAGTGACTGATGGATGGATGCCTTTCACTCTGCCCCAAGAAGGTGACTCAGAGCCTTGGCTGAGGGCCAGGTAAGCTGCCAGCAGCATCATGAGGTGATATGGGACTGCAAGACACTTGCCCTGTGACCAGAGAAGCTGCCTGGTCCTCAGTGCCATCTGCCTCTTAGTGAATGACCACATTTTCCAACTCCACACCTGGAAGAGCCATGTGAGCAATCACCCCCTGTGACTGGAACCTGAGCTGCCCACAGCAAGTATCCGGGAAAGCTATGTTCTGGCTACAGCAGAAAGGGGATCAGGGAGCTGGTGGCATGGACTAAAAGGCATTGTGAAGTCCACAGACTGATTTGGCCTGAATCAATCCATTGTCATTTCTACCTCATTTAAATGACTGCTGTGTGACTTACCCCGAGGAGACATGAACAAGTGTCTATTCACCCTAAACGGTATACTGACAACAGGCCCAAGAAATGACTCTGCCCAAGTCTAGCTTGGTGAACCAGTGAGTTTATTGGGGTTAACTTACAGGAGTATGGGTGATGAGTTCCTTTCAAGAGAATGGGTAACTCTGGAGAGATGCTTCAGTGGTTAAGAGCACTGGCAGCTCTTGCAGAGGACCCAGGTCTGGTTCCCAGCACCCTCATGGCAGCTAACAACTGTCTGTAACTCCAGTCCCAGGGGATCTGACAGTCTCTTCTGTCCTCTACGGGCATTGCAAGACACAGGTGCACTTACCTACAGGCGGGCAATACACACATACACATAAAATTAAAAAAAACAAAAACAAACCTCCATTGGTGGAGTGCCTGCCTCACATGCATGAGGACTTGGGTTTGCTCCCCAGCACCACATAGACTCAGTGTGGTGGTGTATGCCTGCAATCTTAGCACTTAGCAGTGGAGGCAGGAGGCTCAGAAGTTCAAAGCCATCCTTCGCTACATAAGTTGGAGTCCAGCCTGGACTACATGAAACACTGTCTCAAAAATAAAATAAAATTCCACTGGCTTTTGGCAGACTACTCTGTAGCCCACTGCTCTGTTGTCCTCCTAGCTATATGGTAGTCAGCATCCCACATGTGTGTCCCCTGGGTACAAAGGGTTTCTAGGCGGCATTCTTGATGGGCATCCTGACCTTTCTTATGAACAGCAGACTGAGCATTATCATTTGGCAACATGATAATGCTCCTGCTGTGGCTGTTGCTTCCAGAGACTTTTCCATCAGCAGACTTGGGCACATGAACGTAATGGTGAGTCTGCTTTGACAGGACTTGGGGATTGCTGCTTGGGGTGCTGTCTAGGCATACCATCATGGGCTCCTGCATCTCTTACTTTTGTGTTTTGCTTCAAACCACTCAGCTTTGCTCTTTAAAGCATCCCAGGTGTGGTTCTCACCTCCTGCAGGGTTCCTTAGAATGGCCTCAGGCGCCATTGACAGCCAGCTTCAGGGATGGATAGGCCACTGTGCCTCAAACTCAACCAGTGGTTGGGATTAGAGTGAAGAGAGGTGCATCCTTGCGCCTCTGCGCTGATCTCTTCTTGATAGCCCAGTGAGACCTGATGGGGTTTTTGATAAGTCTCCTTCCCTGTCTCTCCCACTCCTCCTCTCTCTCCCTTTAACATGTCCCAGCTCCTTTCTCAGAACCAGGACAGAGGTTTACTTTCCCTTTATTTAAATATCACCAACACCCGGGCTTAGTTTAGGGCCCCTTCCTATAGCTGCCTTCAAGCATCAGAAAGACCACCTACCTCCCCATTTCATTGTTCTCCACAGAAGCCGTCCACCGACCATCTGAGCACTCTCCTGACAGCTCTTTCTGAAGCCAAGGCTGGTGGTGATACTGCCACACATTGGAAAGGGAAGGCCCAGAAGCTGAATTCCCGATTCTTTTGAAAATCCTGATCAAATACCCTGTGGTCTCTGCCTTCCTGCAGACAGGACTGCTGTCATAGCAGACCTTCAAAAAGACCCTGTTGTGGTAGAAAGATCCTCACACCCTTATATAATGGTTCTTCCTTCTTGTGGGAAGAAGACGGAGAGGATTGCTGATATTTTATGTTGTCCATAAACATTTGACATGTGTTTCCCCCAGAAGATGGATAGGCCGTTTGCTGTGAGAAATAGGATCACACAGCATCTGTAAATTTCCTCTTAAGATTGTTAAGAGACACACTGCCTTGTGTTTATGGTCACTTCCATGAGAGAGGGATGGAAACACTTCTTGAATGAGATCAGAGTTAAGATAGGGTGTCTCAGTTAGAAGACCTTTTATTACAGGTGAGCATACCGCCATATCTGGGACAGCAGTCCATAGGCTATGCTGAGGCAGCCTCACATCTGAGTATTCAGCTCTGTCACTGGCCCCCATCACCTAGTGGGCAGCACCACTCTGTGTCCTGCCCATCCAGGCACAGGAAGCAGTGGGGTAATGATCCAATAGTCTTGAGAGTTGTGACTAATTTAAAAAAATAGACAGTCAGTGGTTTGGGGTGGCATCTGTCTGGTTGGAATGAAAAGACTCAAACACAAAGAACGAGTGAGTCAGCCTGAGCTCTGGCAAGGTCTAAAGATTTTTCTCAATGTGCCCTTCATCTCTCAGGAAGGGGACATTTCCACCATGAAAAGCTGGGGGCTTTACAGATGGACCATTCAAGTGAAGTAGCCATGAACCAAATCCACTGAGCTGTCTATCGCCACTTAGTTTAAGTCTTTGTGACCTCCAACCAGAAGGTAACCAGGTACCTGACCACAGCTGTATCTTGAGGAACAGCAGTCATGAGTTTGCCACTGGAGTCTATCCACAGTCAATCTGCTGAAATCCTCAGTCTTTTCCCAGAGAGATCTGCATTCACAGTTCTTGGAAGAGAAGCCAGGCAGCCCACCACAATGTCACTGCCCTTTCCCTGGGAGTCAGCACCCATTACTCTTTTCACCCTCGGAGGCTTGTCATCCCAACTTCCAAGGTCATCCCTTGAGCAGGCTGGACCCACTCTGTCTTTGAACTTGGTTTCTGATTCTAGAGTTCACTTCAGTGTTTTGAGTTCTGAAGACTCCACAGTAGAGCTTTGGCTCTGAAGTTTTGAGACTGCCTCGGGATTGAAGAGTCCTGTGAAGGCAGCTTCAAGGGACGCTGTGATGCGATGTTGACTCCAGCACCCAAGCTTTTGCCTCTTACTCCCCCTGCCCCCAAAATGTAGATGGATAATTCTATGACCTGTGGGCATCTGAACAGTAAATGGGCTCAGTAAAAGCCCATCTCTCTCTGTACCCTCTAAGGGCCCATCCTCTTTCTGAGTACCAAAAAGCTACCTAGAAATAGAAATGAAATATGGAAGAAAAAATGTGCATTTAAATTCTAATTCTACCATTTACTGGCCATTGACTTTGGACCAAATCCTCAGTGTTTCTGAACTGTCATTTCCTCAATGTCACATGAATTACATTTTAATATGAAATCATTTGGAGACTAAGAAATGTATGATTTTATTAGCTGTTAATCACAGTAATTAAAAATGATGATAGATAGATGTGTGTGCTTTTTTCTTGCTAATGGATAATGGTAAGGATACAAGATTTAGCTTCAATAATGTTCCAAAGTCTTTTTACTGTCAAAGTCAAATGGAACTTTGTCTGGGACCGTGTTAAGATCTATTTAATTGGAACTCTGAATGTGAAGACAATGGAGTCAGCTACATGTTGAAGCCTGAACACAATCAGCTCTTCCACAGAGATTTGGGGTTTGAGCTCTGCCTTCTCCCCACCAAGGAGACAAGCAGAGGCTTGGTCATTAAAAAGGCAGAGGTGTGTGTGTTTGAACTACATAGCAGGAGTAGACGCATAGCACATCCTCTGTAGAGATGGACGTTGCTGTGTGCTTTACCCTCCTGCTCCACATGATCTTCATAAGGATCTTTGTGAAGTGGAGCAAAAGGGGCCAGCCACCAACTGAAGCCAGAAATTAGACATATGCTTCAGCTCCCTGGGAGGCTCACATGCCCCTGTTGCCTGGTCCTTTACAAACTTATTACATTTATTTATTTGTGTGTGCGTATGTGTGTGTGTGTGTGTGTGTGTGTGTGTACACACACACACACAACGTGCAATGGCACCTGTGTAGAGGTCAGGGGACAGCTTGTAGGG